CTATAGTCACTCTATTACAGATGGAGTAATGTAAAGAAATTAATTTCTCCCTGGGATTATTAAAGTTTTTCTGATTCTGATTCCTGGTTGATGGGACAGGTGTTGTGAAGGAAACGGTGCCCAGCTTGAAAGAGCTCCTGTGTGTCGCTGAATGTGAGCATTGATGACTGAAAGACATCTTCTGCCTCCATTTATCTGTTTACTACAGTGCGTTGATTTCATGTTAATGAGTATTTAAAGACATTTCAATTAGTGGGGGAAAGAAATGCAGGGGGGGAATATAAAAATATCAACTAACCATGCAGACCCTCATGCAGTACCTCCGTAGACCCCCTAGGGGTCGCGGATCCCCTGTTGAAGACCTCCGCTCAAGAAGATTTTACTAACACAAACTGAGGGACCAGGCTGAGGTAGGAATTTAAGGTTACTGAAGTGCGGATTTTTTTACTGAAAGCCGGCGGGCAAACTTGTTGCCATCATCCTCACCGACCACCTGGTCATAAAGCTGTTTTAAGTCGCCTCCATGCTGCTGTTGCTTCCACGCTGCATTTTGTTTTGATGACGCACGCGGCTGTAGGCTACGACGCTGGTAGCTAGTGTTGCCAGATTGGGTGTTTTTCCCACTACATATTAAGGCCTGTTTACGGTGTGATTTAGCCGGGGTTTCGCCTGGAGGGCTTTATAGAAATCTGGCAACCTGTTAAACGGAGTTGAACTGAGAGAGCGTGCCGTTCACAGACACCAGAATGAACGAGTTCACAATAACGTTCACCAGGCAATAATACAGTACGTTCAGTTCACGTTCGCCCAAAATATGAACGAGTTCATGAACTTTCGTTCAATGAACGCGTTCAGGCACAACATTGTGTGTATATATATATATATATATGTATATATATATATATATATATATATATATATATATATATATATATATATATATATATATATATATATTTTTTTTTTTTTTTTTTTTCCTCGCTTAAAAACTAAATTTTAACTTTATAGCAAATCACATTCAGATTGGTCTAACTGAACTAAGATGAACATGAACAACATGAATCTGTGAAAAGATGTTTACTGAGACCCTCTAAAGCCTTTTTTTAATGCTATTTTTGAATAACTGGATTTTTGGACAAGTTGTATCTGGCATTATAGAGAAGATGTTGAGGAACTTGAAGAAGCAAACCTTAACTGACCTCAAAAAAATTTACCTCACTGCCAAAACTCTAAGTATTGTGCAACCGATCCTTTTATGCACTACGGGGGGAGAAGGTCTGTACTGCAGTGGAAATACATCTCTGATGACTCTATGAGCAACTAACACAATTGATGTCCCTTCGTTCCTACATGTCAGGGTAGGAACAAATATTTTTTTTCATACTACTTCATGGCAAGTAGACTTTAACAATTGATTAAATGCACGGGAACATTTAGAAGTTAGACCAGTTTTAATCAGCTCAAAGAGAGATGCCAGCTCAACATCCTGATGTCAAAACTGCTGGAATGCTAGCTCTTTGTTTTTCTTTCTCTTGTTGTTGCTGCTTGATAAGCTGCTATTGTTTCCAAAGTAGGGGGAAGCACCAGGAAGCTATTTTTGCTGTTGTTGTTTTATTCTAGTATTTTATTTTTCTTTAGCAAACCATACAGCTGGGTTATTTGTTTTCATCATCCATCCGTCCATCCGTCCAATTTCTCCTGCTTAGTCCTTGTCAGGGCTGTGGTTGGGCCAGTGCCTATCTTGATCAGTCTATGAGCAAGAGGCAGTTTACACCCTAAACAGGTCGCCAGTCAGTCGCAGGGCAACACAGAGACACACAATCAAGCACACACACACTCACACCTAAGCCGAGTTTAGAGAAGCCAATTAACCTAACAGTCATGTTTTTGGACGGTGGGAGGAAGCCTGAGTACCCGGAGAGAACCAATGCATGCACAGCGAGGAAATGAACCCAGAACCTTCTTTCTGCAAGAAAACAACCCACTGCAACAAAGTGCAACCCTAATATAAGGCTGGGTCTTCAACCAAGAACCCTCGGATAGTAAGGCACAGCCTTACAGCAAACACCACTTGCAATACTGTTTTCATTATCATAAAACATATTAATATAGACATATCTCATACTGAGATGAGTAAAACCCAGGCAGCCTAAAATGTAAGGGCAAATTGAGTCAAAAAGTCGGCGTGGCTTTAGCTCTGTGTGGAGAGTAGGTAGTTAAGAGATTGACGTGTCATTTATTTTGGTTTATTGATCATAAACATGTTGCAGATGTTTATGATCAATATGGAGCAGACGGCTAAAGGGAGATTCAACACTCACTTGCCAGTGGATTCCTGATTGGGATCAATATGAAGGTTGGAGAAACTTTAAATAAAGGGAAGAAAATCTGATCTATTCTGGCAGCGCGCAAAAAGCAGGGGACATTGCCCCGCCAGCAGCTGTTGTTTCTCACTGCTTACTGCCCTAGATGTTTTCAAGGTCTAAAAAAAGGTCAGCGTCTGGTTTGCATGCAGTCTATGGTGGATAGCGTCAAGGGTTCCAGCGGCGCGTCTTAGCGTCGGGAGGGGTGAATCAGAGCCGTTCTGGTGTCTGAGCATCCAAGCGTTCTATGCTGTTTTTCAGCAGCTTAAACTTTTGCTGCTGGATGCCAAAGCGTTAACCAATCAGAAAAGCTAATCCAGGAGTTTTTGGGAGAATATGGACACTACCTGCAAGCTGTCATTGCTTCTGCAGACATTGAGCACATGAAAAGTATATAAATATCAAGAGATATCTTTTTTATGTACTATGGCGAACCAGTTAATGAAAACCCAAATGAATTAGAAATGTTAAAACCTGCTGACGAAAAATATTTCATTGTATAACCTGGTATTTGCAGATTTTTACCACAAACCTTAAAAACTCTTTAGCTGGTAGCTGGAAATCCCCCACAAGCTGCCGACAGTGTCACCAATTAACAATTGCGCATGTGCAAGCAGATAGTCATCCAGGTCTCCATAAATAATGTAATCATGGTACAGTAAGCACTTATTTCTATCCTTAAATCTCTAAAGAACACAAATCATTAAAAAATGTTTTATGGGTTTTCTGAAAAATGATGATGCTTTTTACATTTTCTCTGTTAAACCGCTTCTCTGATGTAATCATTGGACATGTTCAGAGTAGTCCAGCAAAATATGATTAAACCATGTTCCTCTTTTTTTTTTTGTTATTGCTTTCTTTAGATTACACACTATATACCATAAGTTCAACATGAAAGGAAAAAATAAAACTCCAAAAGACTAGATTTATGTTTAACTACAAAGCCGAAAAAGTTAGCTCCCAAAAGTAGCATAGGGGATGGGCACAGATGGGTAATAAAACCGAAATGATTTTAATGCATTTATTTTTTTCAGGAAATACATAATTAACCTTTAACATATTATATTTCTGTTGTCTAACTGTTTTTATTGAGGGTAAAATTTGCAAATGAGCTGATGGTAGGGGTCGTGCCACTGGTATGGATGGGTAGTGACAGGCAGCAGAAAGCTTTTCGGTGGGGATATCCAGCGCTGCCCCCGATGGTATGCTGGAGGTCTGGCACTGCGAACAAGAACTGCATATCTTAGTGGGATCAAATCTGATGAACTGATGCAGAGAGGATGTGTGGAGATGGAAGTGTCGACTGCTGGGCCGCTGACTGGACCGGACCTCAGCAGAGAGCCATGAGTCGCCCGTCCTCAGCTGGATTTCTCTAAACACTAATTAAAGTGAAGCTGTAACCTGCAATCTGCTCTTTAAACTTTGAAACTCTGTACTAGTCTAACACTTTGGTATAAAGACAACAATCCTTCAATTGGGATGCAGGTTTTTCCACTCTAAAATGTCTCAAGCCAAAACATGTAAAGTATGTCTACAAACATACAATGGCTTTCATATTTCAAAGACAGACGTTGAGCCAAGCCCTTCCACTAGACACGCACTTGAAACTGGTTTGATTTCTTTTGCTGTTTTTCTTATTTAATGGAGTTATTACCAATACTTTTTTTTTTTTTTTTTTTTTTTTACAAATATGCTGCAATCTTATTTAGTTTTGTGATAGCAGCATATTGTTTGTAAAGTTTTTAAGAAGCAGATTATTTAACACCATAATTGTAAATGTGGAAAGGAGGGTTAGGGTTAGTGTGGGAGTATCATGTAAAATCTTGTATGTTTTTGACATGAGTCATTTTAGCAACAAACTCGTTACACCCTATTTTAGGTTCTTCTTGGCAGCCATTCTCCTATTATATTATCAACTGCTGCTTTCTCTTCTGATCACTGGTCAGTTGGAATTCTGAGGAACAGCCTAGATAGCCTTACAACATGAGAATGAATGATATAGTAAAAAAGGTGTTAAACTACATAACTATAGTAATAAGTGTAATGAAATTTAAATTTTAAAACGTCATCTTAAAGGTAAAGTGTGCCCGCACAAGATGTGATACAGTGTCATTTTGAAATTGCTAAATTTAACCTAGAGCTCATGCTTATTCCTTATAAAATTTATTTTAAAAAGCTGTTAATAGTGAAATAATTGTTTTTATTGTAATGAGCTGGAAAGCGAGCAAGTTGAAACCATCAATACTCCCCATATACAGTAGCTCCATTCTCTAGTAGCAAAAGGGTTTTGAAATGACTCAAAAGAAAATTCACTTACATCAAGAATTTTTTTTTACTTTTTAGAGCAAAGGTCTTTCTAAACTACAATCTGTTTTATTCTTCTAATTCAAAGCAGTTAAACAAAAACTGGCTAACCAGTTTCGTGCTCTAGGTACACATGTGGGTGTACCATTGTTTCAGGAAGGTCTGATTTATGAACACTTACGCAAGCAAAAAAAACCCAACAATAACCAGGTTACGTTTCAGTGAAATAAGACAACCTAGGCAAAGGCAGGTGCAATAGTTTCCGTGCATAAACCGGAAAAATGGGTGGAGAAGTCATTTCAGTTTACTTATCATAATCTCCGTGCTTATTATTCAGGGGACCTGAACACATGTAAAATGCATGTCATAATGTTCATGCATTTAAAGCTACAGTGTGTAACTTTTAGCGACATCTAGCGGTCAGACTGTAGACTGCAGCAACATGAACATCTCCCCTCCACCGCTTCTCCCTCCCAACAGTACGGCGAGCGTTACGGGACAAAATGTCTTCCACAACGTCCGCATCACCTACCTTCTCAAGTGATGAGGTTTGTTTACATAGATAATTTTACAGATAGTATTTCATTAGTCTGTGTAGGGTATAGATTTCATGTAGACTTAAGATAATAAATATACCCGTTATTTTTTCTACATCGTGACGTTTTGGCGATCTCGCAATTGCTAGTTTGTTGGCTCTGCGCTGCCGTAGCGCAAAGATGTCTGCCTCCATGGCTGCGAGACCCGCTCCTATGTAATTATAAATAACGAATTCTAAGGCAACGCAAATATTAAGGTTAAGAGGCTGAGCTCGTAGATGATGATAAATAACATAGTTTTGTATAATATATTAGATTTCTGACTGTATATCCCTGTAATTATTACACACTGTAGCTTTAAGCTTTACAGTGCAGGGTTAACAATAGGCTTCATTGGCAAAGGTGGGTAGTAACTAGTTACATTTTACTCGAGCATCTTTTTTTATCTTTAGGAGTAGTTTAAAGCATTCAACTATTCACTTTTACTTAAGTAGAAATAGGATTAAAAAAAATAATCAGTAATCTCACCAGATGTTTGGGTTTCTCCATCTGTATTGAGTAACCTCACAAGCTTTTGTTTTAAACAAATATGCATCATTGAGAGACACACCTTTTTTGTACTCAAAGCTTACTGGTTTAATGCTCTACCCCATATATTTAATTGGCTAGCTAATCTGAATAGTTCAATTCCATTGCGAGAGCGAGATCATCTGTTGTAGTAGCACTAGACATCTTCCAGGCATGTGAGGAAAACTAGCAGCAGTTCAGCGGACAGGATGAATGAATGGTAGAAGGCGCAAGCTTTTTTCACATATACTGTACAATATCACCATATCCCTCAAATATTGGTCATAAACCAGTCTAAATATGTGATAGTGAGTATTTGTCCTTTTCTGAGATAATCCATCCCATCTCACAGGTGTGCCATATCAAGATGCTGATTAGACACTGTGATTAGTGCACAGTTATGTCTTAGACTGCCCATATCAATACATCTAACAAGCCAATATAACCCTGCTTACATTCAATAAAGCACTGAGGAGAGATTCGGAAAGACACCTACTACGCGCTTGCTCCCTTCCATGTTTCTCTCCATTGTTTACTTTCCTGATTTCTGTTGAACTGGTGATATCATCAATGCTAACCCAGTGTGATAATGTCACCAGACATGCAGCAATGAGGGGGCAGAGGCCGAGCAGCTTGCCAGCAGGCAGTTAGCCCCAGCTTTTTTTTTAAGGGAGTCAAATGTGGATTGTTAGAGGGTTGACCAGTGGTTATAAAACCTGAAATTAACCCGCTAATTTCTTCTGAGAGAGGCTTAGGATTTAACTTCTGATGTATCAGCAGGACCTTCAAAAAACTAATTCATGCTTCTTTCATCTTAGGTAGAATTGATGAGTGCCGCAGTGTCTTCAGATGTCTGCCTAAACATTGATCAGACAGCTGCAGCTGATCCAGAAGGCTGCTGCTTGCATCCTCACTAAAGCTAAGAAAGTGGAGCACATCAGCCCAGTTCTTCTTCCAAGAATAACATTTTAAATAAATCTTAGTCTTTAATTCACTGAAAGGCTTAGCTCAAAATACATTACAGACTTGTCAGTAGATCAACCACCCTCATTCTTTTTAATGATTAATAATGATTTTTTTTTTTTTTATTGCATCCAGGCAAGGCAAAAAGACTTGCCTTGCCTGGATGTTCTGACCAAAAATTATCCTGACTTCTACACACATGTCAAGCTTAGCAGATCAAAGGGAGTCGGATTTCTTTTTGACACATGTTGGAATCATTACACTTAGTATTTTGAGCCAGAATTCCACCACAGCTTTTCACTTCCAGTGTATAGGAGAAATATTTCTTAATTCAAATTTAAACAAAGAAAGCAATGGAAGAATACACTTAAAGAAGTACTTAAAACTTCACACCCCAAACACAATAAATCACTTTTTGGTGTATTCTGACAAAATAAATGTAGTATGATGTCAGTAGCCAGCTCCTGATTTTCTACGACTGCGTTCCTGATTGTCAGACTGATATAGCTTATGGGTTGATTTTGGTGAGATGCATGCAGAGGTTTGATACGGACGACATGAGAAAGAAAAAAAGTTTGACACACTGGCAAGAAAAGTGTGTTCCATTTATGTTAAAAATCCAACTAAACAGGTCAAATTTACACATTGTCTGCTGAAATGGCAACTTTGTTTGAACATGTTTTAGCAGCAAGTGCTTACTCACGGAGCCAGCTGTCTTTTCATGATCTCAAGGGATCCGGTACACACTCGGGCGTAACTGCTCCACCCCACGAGTGCAGCTTTCTGTTAACAGCCCCCTTAGTCAGAGCCTGCATTCTATCAGCAAACTGAGCATGCAGAGTTGAGACGCTTGCAAGCAGTCTCGCAACCAATGTCTTTTTAGGGTTTGCGATTAACTCAACCCACTGATGTAGAAATAATAGCAGTGCAGAGTTAACCCCTCATAGGATCTTTGATCAAATTGCCAAACTGCTATCCCAACAGCATTCTTCTAATATTTCATTTAAATCAACCAGAAAAAACATGATGCAGTTTAAGAGTGGATTTGACAAAGTAAAAATTATGTATAAAACTCATTACACAGTAGAACAAAAAGTTTGAAAAAAAATATGTATGTGTATATATATATATATATATATATATATATATATATATATATATATATATATATATATATATATATATATATATATATATATATATATATATATATATATATAATAGTATTGCGCCAATGCCATTTTTTGGCCCCAATACCTGGCTGTGCAGTATCGGCCGATACTGATACCATCTGAAGTTCCAGCTTTGTCAAGCTGTCTACCTTTGTGAAGCAGAAAAAATGTATGATGTCATATTCATGATGTCCAGGGTGCTGTCCAGTTTTTAACTTTTTATTTTTTAACTTTTCAAAGTAATGGCTCCAGTTTCCATCACTGTCTGCCCCAAAGCCGAACACATGGACCTACAAAAGTCAAAAGATTATGATAATGAAAATTATCAAAGGAAAGCCAGCAAAGTTGTAAGGAAATGATGTCAAGACATACCAAAGCTTACAGTGCATGCCTACTTTTAGGGAGCTAATATCTTTACAGAAAACTCTTTGATCAATTTATTATACATCTTTAGCATGCCAACTTTATTTTTTTGCAAATGCCTAGCATAATCCCACGCTGAAAAAAAAAAAAACATCCTAACCTTCAATAGAGAGCAAGAACTTTGTGTGAAATAACTCCCACGGTATGATACATTTGCTTTTAAAAAGAAAACATGTGCCAGAGTAATTAGTGTAATTGTAATTGCTAATGGTTGATAAAGCTTTTATTACAACTATAGCAATGACGAATACACTGCTCTAGCCAATGTTTTCAATTCAAGAGAACGAATTAACTGTGTCATGAAACTATCACAGTAGCTATGCTTATATGTGCAGATTTACACAATCAGTTTGAATTTAATTTGGATTAAACTACTTGAAATAAGATTGTACAGTTTATATTGACATAAGTAATCAGATTAAAACGGCCAAGCAAAATAAAAATGTGTCATGTAAACATGGCAATGGGAATATTCTGATGAGAGCTAGCCAGAGCAATTACTGTAGCCAATCAAAGCAAAAATACAGCAGGTTTATGTGGGATGGCGGCTCATCTCTTTCAGAGGAAGCTAAAACCTGACAAGCATGTACTTGCATGCTGACTGGATTGTCAATCTATAAACTACGACTCTTATTCGGATGACAACATTCCAATCCTGCAGCAGGAGTCTAGCAGTCTAAGAAGACATAAGGCGGGGTACAGCCTGGACAGATCACAAGTTTATCGCAGGGCAACACTGCAGAATCTTATGAGAATATTCTGACATGTTTAGATGACAGATTTTAAATCTGATCAGCTGTTTATTCCAGTTACTTATGTCCATGTACAAGTAGCTATTTAGACAGGTGAGCCTGGAGGTGGAAATATGAGAAATGCAAGCATAACATACAGGATTTTTCAGCTATTTTCTTACCTATTATCCTGGACTGTATTTTAATATAGGCACTCAGTCGAATGAAAATGACCTTTTCCTCATACCCACCCCCTTTCATAACTTTCACATGTCTTGGCAGTTTCCATTTTGGTGACATTCATGTGGGGGCAGGTTATGCTTTATTTTTTTTTTATATTAAATTAAAACCGTGAAGAATAACTTTGAAAAACATACCTCATCACAAATGTGGAGTGCAAAAATAAAAGTCATAAATCCAGTGGATGGATATGCTCCTTTCTTTTTCAGCCAGGTCTCATGGGTATACTTCATAAAAGCTGGGTTGACCACCATCACCTGTCAAAAAGGAAATAGTCTCTAGTATTGAAAAGTAAGTTTAGCAAGAAGAGAAAAAAAAATGTAATGCTCACTCACCAAGTCTTTATTGGCTCTAATTTTGGTTTTTATTGGTGCATAAGATCTGTTGAATACAATATAACATGACTAAAAACACAATGATTATTTAAAAAAGAAAGTGGAAAAACAATCATTTTACAGATTGAAATACCAAGAAATCTAGATTTTAGCATTACAAAGTCCACCTATTATTAGAAATTTTGGGCTTACATATACACACACATGTCAAGTGTCACTATTCCAGCGTGGACATTCCATTGACTTTCTTTCATTTTTAAAAGAGTTCTTCAGCCTAACCCTGGCCCTTATCTTAAACCTAGACATTACGGGTTCATACCTAATCCTAACCTAAACTCAACTCACACCTTAGTCCTAAACCTAACATGTAACCAATATATACCGTTCACTGAATACATTTATATTTTTTGTGAGCGGTGAACTAAAGGGATCAGTTTTAAAGTAATGAATGTGAATGAGTGCAATGTTCACTCTGAGAATAATGAACAAGACACACAGCTCACATATGTGTTCAGTTGTTAACAGAGCTTTTCATTGGATAACGTCAGGTTTTACAGCACCTATTACGACAAACAACATGACCAACCAGCATGTCTACTGCTAGTACTAGTCTGTGCGATTCAAACTCATCTACTGGTGTTCCTGATTCTTATATATATTACTTAGTTTTATGAACTAGCAAAGGAAGACTCGGAAAGACAAATACTCATGTTTTTGTGCAAACAAGTTCCGTCAACCAGTAGTTGTTGTTTGGCTTCTCTGTTTTTTTGCTTGTTTTTTTTAACCAATGCCTTTCTGTGGGTCTGTCATGTATTGATCCATGCTCCTGCTTATTTTTATTGCTATGACACCTGACTGGAGATTCAATGTTTTTCGAGAGACAGGCTATGCTGTGGTGTTAATAATTAGTTGAGATTATGCCCTTCTGGGGGTCTTTCATTATCAGGACTTTTCGGCCCTATGTCAGCCGTTCAGGGTGGGTCCTGCTCTTCAACAGCCAGGTCATTTTGCTGCTAGGTGTTCATGGATACAAGTCAGTTTCCTAAGCCAGCAGGTGTGGATCATATCTGCGAACGGTGCTGTCCAGTTCTTCATACCTGAGAATCTAATCACATAGGAAGGTTTGCATGGTCAGCTCTTAGCTCTTCTAGGCACTTTGTATCGTTACGTAATGGTTCCTTCTCCCAAATACCTACTTGACCTTTCCTTGCTAAGCAACTCAAGGATCTAATGTCGTACCCTATATCAGCTCATTAGTTCTTTGATGGTCTCAGTAGGGCTCCAAGTTATGCTGTATTTGAATCAGCCAGGAGATCATTTTGGTAGCACCTTATCTAGCCGAAGCTGGCGTTCACTGGTTCTAATCTGAGCCATGATTTTATTTCTTATGTAAGCAGTTCATCCATTTCGTTGTTGCATCATTTCGGCCTGGAACCCAGTATAAGAGGACTTGATGGTGGCACTCTCATGTGATCTCGAATCTTTGTTTCCCATTGTCAAAGCTGCCAGGGCTGGTTTCGCTGATCCTCCATGGTATCTTTTCATCTCCCACAGTTAGCCTCTACGGGTTTGCTTCAGGCAGCCATAGCCCCTCTTAGCTCTGCATCCCTTGCTGGGATCCCCAATGTAGCACTGTGTCACTCATGGGCAGCCATAGGTTCTATCCGGCCTTCAGTGTTCTTTTTTCCTATCCGATGTGCCGCTGTGCTCCTATGTTTCTCCACAGTTACCTTCTATAGTTAGCCCCAGCCAGCTGTAGCCTCTGCCTGCTGGCACTGTTACTCCACCAGAATGCTTTGCTGTCTTACTGAACTATCATAGGCCTTCACTAACCGCAATATTGTGCTGATTTTCCCAGAGGTGTCCTCTGATCTCCTGCTGTGGTTTCTTTGTTCCATAGGGCGACGTGGCTGACAGCCTAGTCTCGGTTATGTTTTTTCTCTGACAGTGTTGTTGCACTGAGTTGCCACTGCGACTGACTGTTCTCCAGAATGCTGTCTCACCTAACCCTCTGTTGTCTGAGTGATTTGTCCCCCAATGCAGGACAGCAGTGCCCCAAACTGGGTCACAGATAGGTGGAAGTACTTCTGAGAGTGACTATTATCCAGACCTAGCCACTGGAGGAGGTTGTGGTATTCCCCATACTAGTTATGTGTCTCGGAATCTTAAACCTAGGAATGTCAACAGCTCTGTTCGACTTTCTAAAGTAAAGAAACACTGCCAGTCGTTTTGTAAATTCATGTTCGCCATGATGACTAAATTTGTTTAAAGTAAATTAATTTAGTGACACAGCTGAAGGAATGAAATTGGAAGATATTTATTTCAATGGTTTTTTCATAATGACAATAATCTTTAGCCCTCTTACCTAGGGGGTGCTGTAGAACTATCCACACTTTGGCTTCCTAGCGCCTTGTGTGAATGTTAGAAGTATTTCGAAACTTTTTTCTGTGGTTAAAGGACAAAAGACCAACAATTTTACAATAAAGTGTTGGAGTAAAGAACCCCTGTCAGATAAGAGGCTACAGTAATGTAATTTCTCCCTGCTAAAGACCTGGCTTCTGCATTTCAGTTTTTATCTCCAACAATAGCTCAAACACAAACGGCTGGGGTCCGACAGTTTCAATCAGGTTTGGCTTGTGTCTTAATGTGTGCACTATTACGAAGATAAGATTATAAAACTGGGCCATCCCCGATACTAGCTCTGTTTTTCCTGCGACCAATCAATGCCCAGACTCACAAGTAAACTCTTGGGTGTAAATGGTAAATGGCATGTACTTATATAGCAGCTTTATTCAAGTCAGGAGATTTGACCAAAGCGCTTTACACTACATTCATTCACCCATTCACGCACACACTCACACACTGATGGTGGCAAGCTACATTGTAGCCACAGCTGCCCTGGGGCTCACTGACAGAAGCGGGGCTGCCGTACACTGGTGCCACCAGGCCCTCTGACCACAATCAGTAGACAATGCAGGTGAAGTGTCTTGCCCAAGGACACAACGACACTGAAAGTCAGGAGTCAGGGATTGAACAGTTAATCCTTCGATATCACAGCAAACTCCTACATCCAACGCCACTGTCGGTGTACCCTTACGAGAAATGAAACAGTTAAAAAAGGGGGTTCATACAAGCTCTATTTAGAAAATGATTTTCCTAATAGTGATTAAACATTGATTTGAAGACGTTTTCAAAATAATTGTATGTCTAAAATACCAGGTATTAAGTCCCTTAATACTTTAAGATTTTAAGAATGTTGTTTGCTAAGTGTTTTTTCATTTCAGTCAGCCATTGGAAAACTATGGTTTAAAATACTGTTTTGTCTGTCATTGCTATTTCTTGTCCAATAAAGAAAATGTGTTCATTCATTCATTTTCCGTCATGCTTATCCCAAGCGGGTTCGTGAAGGGGTGCTGTCTATGGGCGGGGTACACCCTGGAAAGGTTTCCAGTCCATCACGAGGCAACACAGACAAAAAGGACAAACAACCATTCATGCACACACTCACACCTAAGGAGAATTTAGAGAAACCAATTAACCTAACAGTCATGGTTTTGGACTGTGGGAGGACGCCGGAGTACCCGGAGAGAAACCTCGCATGCTCAGGCAGAACATGCAAACTCAATGCAGCTTCTTGCTGCAAGGCAGTAGTGCTACCCACTGCGTCGCTGAGCAGCCCTTAAAAGAAATAAGATAAACAAAATTTGTAATGTGCTTAAAACAAAAGGACAATATAAAATATTTACACTCCATAGAATCCTGTTGTAAAAGCCTTGATGAGCCATTCAAGATCCATTATCTTAAATGGAAACAGCACAAGATGAGTGGAATTATGTATATCAACCGCACTTTCTGGATACATGACATGATGAGTGGTTTTGGTCCCGACATCTTCTTCATAGCCTTTAGTTTTAGCAGAGTTCATTCTAAACAGCAAATAATAATCAATGCATTAGGCTTTGAATACTTTTGTTTTTCATTCATCAAAAACTGTAACCTTTACCTTATAACGACATCTTGGAAATCAATCAAGGCTCCATAATGTGATCCTTTCAGATTTACAGAATTTCCAACAACGGCACAACTCCTGCAGGTGTCGCCGCTTGGTTTTCTAAGATGGGGACTGGAGGGAAATATCTCAAAGAGTCTGTTCACTGTTTGTTTGAAGAATGCAAAATCCCGTTTTTCATTCTGTACACTCTGCAACATAGAACACATCATTGTTCTGTTCCGTTCTGAATGAATTTCTGGTGTGGGTGGAATTTCTATATGTTTAAACTGGGTGAAACTTAAGTTATGGCCTACCTTCCACCACTTGAAAGCGTTCTCAGAAAGGTTAGTGTTTTTGGAAAGAATCGGTTCAGCAGAAGGGTTCAGATGACTGGTGAGCAGGGGACCACTTTCAAACAAACATTTTTCACAGGCACACAGGGTTTGAACATTAAGGTAATACCAGTCCATATAACTTATTACAAACAATCCAGCCGGAAATGCAGAGAAAATTAAAACCAGCAGCCTCAGTCTGGATGACATCCTGGAAATTAAACTGTGGGAAAGAAAAGGAAGACATTGCGCCTTTGTGAAATCTGGTTGAATTTACTTATTTTTTTTACAGCTTTAGCTAAGAGTAACTCTTGTTCATAAATCTTTTTATTTTCAAACACAACAGCTTATTAAACTTATGCTTAATGATATAAGCAGCAGTCTGATCACACATTCAATAATTTCTTTAAATACAATATTGTGAAATTGAGACAGAAAAATGTTAAGCCTTACCTTGCACTTTCTACTGCTGCTTAAAGTATTTTCAAATTTCCAAAAGCTTCTGAGGACGATTAGAAGGAAGTTTCCTTCCTCTCTGAACTCTCTGTGGATGTTGTCCTGTTTCATAGAGAATATGGCTTGGGGAGTTTTAAAAATAGGAAGAGGTGTGGTTACTTTGTAGGGCAGGTGCATTAGCGAGACAGGTCATGGTGAACAGTGTCACAAGCTTTTTGTATTAGAATTAGCATAATAAAAAAACAAATGGGAAATCTAATTGCATTTTGTGAACTGCAATACCCAGCGGAAAATAAAACCCTGGATTATTTAGCTTGTTTAATATATAAAATGTTATAATTTTAAATATCTAATATGATAAACTGAAATTTTAAGGGAAAAAAGAACTGCTTTTTCATAATAACATAAAATAATAGAGTTAATACTTTTGTTGTTGCAATTGTACATTTCTTTGAAATTTGTCATCTGCATTTAATCGATCTCTAAAGGTCCAGGGAGAACTGTGAGCATCTTGCAGTGCCTGAGGGTGAAGCTTTGTGAGGTCAAGAGTGGCCTTACCTTACCTCCAGTTAGTTGTCAACTAATAGTTTATAATTTAGAAATAGTCATATCTGATTAACAGAAAATGTTCACTTAAACAAATTTGTTTGTCTTGTAATGTTACCTCCATTGTTTATCTCTAAGCTGTTTATCCTTCATGCCAAAGCAGAAACATTAATCTAGAAAGGATTATTTGCACTCTTTAATGGTGACAAGAATGCTGAATGCACTTTGTGTTGTTCTGTTTGTGAGTTTTAGCATTCTAAAACAGCGTGTCATCATGAAGCCATGCTTGCTGACAAAACAGCTTCATCTTCTTTACGGTGTTCCAAAGGCGAGGATGTGATGATAAAAACCTGGGGAACATTAAAAACTGTGTTACATAGTAGAGGTTTAAAAGGCTTTTCTGAATTGATTTTCATTATGGAGTCTAGTTTTAAAATTCTGAGAATGAGAGCCACCTGTAAAATAGTGTCTCCAAGCAGATTATTGGATTACACTAAAAGCAGAGAGATACATTACAGCAGTGGTTGAAAAGGTACTTTAGTAAAAATAAACAAACAAATAAATACTCTAGTAAAAGTAAAAACATCATATCAACATTTATACTTAAAGTTATTGTGTAGGATTTTCGCAATTTTTTTTAAAAGACCCTTCCTCTCCACTAAATGCACATGCACAACCTTGCATCCATTCCCGAGAGGTAACACCTATTAAACGCGTGAGAGAGCGTTTTTCCGACTGCACACTCTGTTTAAAAGTTGCTGTTCCAATAGCCCATACAAGCTTACTGTTTCCAAATGTCTGCCCTTACCCCTGAATTCCTTAATCACTATATAAAGCCGGGACTATTTAGTGTACTTTACACCAAACTCAGTTAACTGACCGTTCGGAAAGATGATCACTGCATTTTTCTCCCCGTTGGTAACGTAACTCCTCCTCCGCCGCGCGGTGCCTGCTCCATCTTTGTCATTAGTCGCCAATTTCGGGTAGCGACAGCCTATGGGGAGAGTACACTGCTGTGACAGCAGATCCCATAATGCTTTGTGAGGGGTGCTCTCCACACAAAGGATTCCGGGATATATCTGCCTCTTTTGAGGCCTTTTTTTCTTCTCATGCACTTTGTAGACAATTTTTCTCTTACTACCCTCAGACATTTTCAAAGAACCGTGGTGAGAAAGGTGAGCTTCAATGACTGTCTAAAACTATAGCTCGCCACAGATATACGCCTGAGAGTTCACAGGTGCAGAAAAAGATAGCTGACGGGACGAGCACTTAGACGGCCTCATGTAAACATAACAACTGAATGATTGACAATTAGGAGGACCACTTATTTAGATGATCCACCTGGAAATAAAAGATCATCCTCTATACCTTTAAGGAAAAGTAACAAAGTACTTGCTTTTAAAAGAATGTCTTACATTATTCAGAAATGTTAAAGTTGCAGTACACCAAACTTCAAGGCTCAAAGCTCTTCTTCTCTGGATCCAGGTTCCTTCCTCTTGGTGGCAGTTGCAGTGAGACCAAGGCTTTGTTGAAGATGATTGCTGTGCTTTCTCTGCAAAAGAAATAGTGTATTTTTGTCTGAATTTATACTAATTGGACAAAACTCATACAGTAGGAGGGCTTTATTGTTGCAATATTATTAGCAAATGTGTGTGGAAAGTTGTGTGTTGATCTTGAGTTGTGTGTGTGCAGTGGGATTAGAAAATATCTGCAAATGTCTGAAATAACTTGTGTGTAATCTGATATGCAAATGTGTAAAAAATCTATAAATCTGTATTCTGATCTACAAATGTGTGCTAAGATTTGCAAATGCATACTAAGGTCTACAAGTGAGTAGATCAGTCTGAAAACACACAAAGACGCTTAAGTCAGAAGAAATACAGACAATTCATTGGTTATAAGTCAATTCTCGGTTGGCTCTCTTTACACACGTGAAGTTTGCAGACACTTCTGCTGTGTGAGCTTTGCAAATGCGAAGAGAGCATTCGTATGCGTAATATCTGGATTTGCTGCCCTGCGTGCAGGCTCACCTGCTCACAGACTGCATCTTCCTTCCCTCCTTTGTTTCCTGCTACAGGAGTTCGTGTCAAGGAAAGATGGCTGCTAACAGCGAGATGGATCGGACGTTTGAGGCAACAAATAATCCATGGCTAAGTGACTTTGTTTGCATCAACAATGCCCCCATAGCAGGAAGATGGATAAGATAAACTCAAAGATGCGGCAACTGCGCCGCTGCCTCCCACTAAAAATAATATTGTGCTTCTCTGGTAACACAGGGGAAAACATGCAAGATTCTTAGTGTCTTTTTTTTTTTGCTTCAAAGAAGCCAATAAATCCATCTAGACTGTTGCTTAATATATCAATGTCTCTAAGCACCAACATTGATAAGGATCGAAGCAAACACCCATAAAAACCCGACCATAAAGGCATGATAATCGTGTTCACTTCTTGTTAGTGGCACTTTTGTAAAAGCTAGATAAGCTTTTACTTATGTGTTTCACATTTTAAAAAAAAAAGGTAGCATTTAGCAACTTACCTCAATGCTTTTTAAGATTTGAGGGTGATTTTTTGCAAGGTACAACTTCAAGCTATCAGAGGAGACAAAGGTTGCCAGTTAAAAAGAACAAGTCTTTCAAATAAAGTCTGTGGACACCCAGTGCTGGAATCCATATTAGATGCGTGTTGCTCTGGAATGAGACTCAGTAAATGATTCCCTTGTCCTTTTTGGGAAAAGTGGGTCCTACTTTATGTGTCATCTGAACATAATATTAGTAGTTGTACAAAAAGTTGTATGCATGTTACTGATGCTACAACCAACCAACCAACTACTGTGTTGTTTTTAATTACAACATGAAATCCATACCAACTCAAACAAGGGGAATTTATTCAAAGCAAAGCTTTAAAATTAAGTTTAAAAAGGATAGCAGATAAAGTAGCTAACAAGTATAAAATAGGTACATAGTGATCGTAACAGGTTTTCAACGCAGCCGAAGCAGCTATTATCAGCCATAAGAAACGGGTAGTTATTTAATAATAGTTTCACATCTCTGAGCACTTGAAATCATCATCATTTTATTTATCTTTTTGATGAGCAACTGAGTTTACTATAAAGTCTGCTAGGGAAAAAGATAGTCGATTAAGAGGTTAAGGCGGAAGTTCACAGACAGTCCTCCTCTGCAGTTTCTCTTTGCTGGATTCTCATCATTTCCTCCTGAACCCTGGTGTTCCACCTCGTTTGGGTTCCTGTGTTCCCTGATTTCTGGATTTATGCTTCTGTTTTCACCACTAATTGATAAATGTGCAAAAAACCAACTCAGCCTCTGACTCTGCATTTGGATCTTCTACAATCCTCCACTATTCTTGACAGGACTTATGTAATGAAAAAAAAATCATAACGAATTGCATGACAAGACCTAATCAGAATCAGAATCAAGTTTATTGCCAAGTAGGTTTGCACTTACAAGGAATTTGACTTGGTGTTGTTGGTGAAGACAAAAAAAACAAAAACAAAACAAAAACAAAATAAGATAGAATATATATATATATATATATATATATATATATATGTATATATGTATATATATATATGTATATATATATATATATATATATATATACACAGAAGCTATATACAAACAGTAGACTGTGCGTTAATGTAACGCAGAAATCCTGAATGGGGGAGAGAAACATTGTCCAGTGTCACGGGCGGGTCTTGGCCTTGTTCATAAGGCCGATAGCAGATGGGAAAAAAACTGTTTTTGTGACGGGAGGTTCTGGTCCTGATGGACAACAGTCATGGTTGTAGTGGTGAGAGGAAGGCGGGTAACCCACACATGCATGATGTAAACATTCAAACTCAAAGCTTACAGACCCCAGGCTAGAAATGTAAACCTGTGGCCTAATTCCTGAGTAGCCAGTGTTATCTTTGTCATGCTAATTCTGTGTTCCAGCACTTTAACAGAAGACATTTGATTTCTCCACAATATCTCTGTAAAAATCACTTGCTTGTCAGTGTTATACAAATGTTTCTGGATATGCTAAATTTATATGGAGCAAATTTAAAATCAATATAGAAGACATTTAATTCAATCTACAAACCCAAATATTATTCTGGAATTTTAAACCTTCATATTTCATGTTTTTTTTTTTTTTTTTATACACTACATACATTATGACCACTTTTCATTTCACTAAAATGTTATAGAGAACAAACCATGCATGTGTACATAGAAATCAGAGAAGGATGTTTTTTAAATCATTATTTACACCTGTTTCGTTTTATAGTTAATATAGTTTAGTTTATTCTATTTTCTACTTTTTTGACACTGTGCAACACAAATCTAATACTTACAGTAGTAGCAATTCAACATTTTCCCACTATCCTTGATAGGCCCTTGGCTGTTCCCCTACAATTCCTTTTTAAACATCTAAATTTGTACTAAAATATTCTGTCATGATTTGTGGACATTACGATCTAAAGAGAAGCATCATCTCCTGTTCAGACCCTGTAATCCAGTGAAAGAGTGGAGTCAGAGTAAAAAAATATGCAAGAGGGGGTCAGTCCAGTGGCTGGGAGTTGGAGGG